ATGAGGGGGGAAAATTCCAGAAAGTAGACAGCCAGAGAAGGGAGCCCCAGATTCTGTGTATGAGCTCTGCCTAAGTCTCTATAACAAGAGACCCATGAACCAGACCTACAGCCCAGCAAAGAGATTTAAAAACTGACATCAACTTAGCTGCTAAAACAGGAAATTCAGCACTCTGGAATTACATAATAGGATCTAGAATTTCCACATTATTTTCTCCCATAGTCCAACTTCCAGGATACATGCAACCCAACCTTATTCCAAAAACAAAGAAACAGGAAAATGAGACTCATTTTTTTAGGAGAAAAGGTAATAAACAGAAATTGACCCTAAGGCGGCCCTGATGTTGGGGATCAGGAGACAAGATTTTAAAAACAGCCATTGGAACCATGCTCAGTGATGCAAAGAAAAATATGACTGTGATGAATAAAAAGATATGAAACTTCAGCAGAAAAATGCAAACTATAAAAAAAAATGGAAATTTGAGAACCGGAAACTATAATACAGGCATATCTCATGTTACTGTCCTCTGCAACTCTTGGTTTTTTTACACTTGAAAAATTTTTTTAAAAATCACTAGATGGGTTTAACAGAAGAAGAGAGATGACAAAAGAGACAATGAACCTGATCAATGGAAATTATCTAACCTGAAGAACAGACTTGTGGGACAAGCAAAAGATCCAATAGACATTAACAGAAAATCAGTTCATGTAGGTTCAAAATTAATTGCACAAAAGCATGTATTTTTTTAAAAAAAGGTTTTGGCCACTTCATGTGCAGCTGGCAGGATCTTAGTTCCCCAACCAGGGACTGAACCTGGGCCCCTGCAGTGAAAGCACCAAATCCTAACCACTGGACTGCTAGGGAATTCCCAGAAAGCATGTAATTATCACAACACATTTTATTGACACACAAAAAAAGACTGAGAGGTTAAGAGGTCAAGGCCATAGATTCAGGGAGAAAACCCAGACTTTAGAGCCCGTGATCCTGTCTTTTGTTGGACTAACTTCTACAACTGAAAATGATTTAAGTAGAACTTCCCTGAGTAAAAGGTGGAGCTAATGGTAAAGAACCCGCCTGCCAATGCTGGAGACATATGAGACATGGGTTCGATCCCTGGGTCAGGAAGATCCCCTGGAGAAGGGCACAGCCACCCACTCCAGTATTTTTTCCTGGAGAATCCCTATGGACAGAGGAGCCTGGTGGGCTACAGTCTATGGGGTTGCAAAGAGTCGGACAACTGAGGAGACTTAGCATGAACATAAAGTAGAATTTAGAAGCTGCTTAAAACCCTAATTACGAAGCATTATTCTATTCCCATGAGCAGGGGAGACTGGCAGGGGTGGGTGTGGAGAGCACCTGGTACCTGAAGTGAACATGTTTCCTGCACCAGAGATCACCACCACACGACAGTCAGCATCTTCTGCAATCTTGTTGAAGCATACCACCATCTCTCTGCGGAGGGGGAGAGGAGGGAGGGCTCTGTCTGGGTGGGAATCCCCTGCCCTCAGGCCCTCCCTTGCCCAGTCCCTCAGCCCCTGCCTCCTCGTGCAGGCCAGACCTCCAGAAGGCCTTGTTCATGGCATTTCTCTTCTCAGGCCGGTTTAGTTGCACATGCAGAATGTGTTTCTGGGCAGCTGTCACCCGAAGGGACTCATAGCTGTGGCCTGGAGCTTCCTCTGGGGCTGCTTTGGAGGCTTCCTCTTGTGCAAAGCCACTCATTGGGCGAAGGTTGAGACCCAGGTTGGTGGAGGGGGTCAATCCTGGGGAGACAGAGGTAGGAAGAGCCTTTGATGACCCCGAATAGGGGGCACAGCACCTTCAAGAGTAGAGGGTACACATCTCAGCTGACACTAGGTTGGGGGACACAAGCCTGTGAGAGGCCTCAGTTTAGGGGATGCAGACTTTAAGATGGGCTTCCCTGGTGGCTCAATCAGTAAAGAATCTGCCTGCAATGCAGGAGGACCGGGTTCGACTGCCCTGATTAGGAAGATCCCCTGGAAAAGAAAATGGCAACCCACTCCTGTATTCTTGCCTGGGAAATCCCATGGACAGAGGAGCCTGGAGGCCTACAGTCCATGGTGTCACAAGAGTCAGACGCCACGGAGTGACTAAAGCACCACCACCACCAGACTTTAAGATTCAGGTGCACTTATCAGTGGCCTCAGCCTGAGGATCACTTCAGACCCATGATTGTGGTGCATGCTAAATTGCTTCAGTCGTGCCTGACTCTTCGCAACCCTCTGGGCCATAGCCCGTTAGGCTCCTCTGTCCATGGGATTCTCCAGGCAGGAATACTGGAGGGGGTTGCCCAGCCCTTCTTCAGGGGATCTTCCCGGCCCGGGAATCAAACCCGTGTCTCTTAATCTCCTGGATTGGCAGGCAGATTCTTTACCACTAGCGCCACCCAGAAAGCCCTGTGATCGTGGTACTCACCCCAGAAGAGTACACTGAGCTGTCAGCGAGCCAACTGTAAGACAGAAGCCCTTTGGATGGGGGCACATAGACCCGAAAGTTTAATAGGGGGTTCGAACCCTGCGTGACCCTGGACAGGCCTCCCCGTTCGATTGTCGCGATGACAGCACGACAGCTCAACGGAAGCCCAGAGATCAAGAGGTAACTCACGCCGGGTAAGCAAGTCGCCAAATCGCCGAAAGGCCGCAAACGCTGCCGCCATCGCTACTGACTGCTGGGTGTAAGGCGACGTGAGTAAGCTATGGGGGCGGGCACAAAAGGCCGCCATGTTTGGTGAGGGCATCGAAGCCGCAGGCTGACCGCGGAGATGGTCCCCCTTCCCGCCATCTTTATCAAGGGCAACCGGAAACAGTCTTCTAAATTCGCCGGCCGTTAGAGTGATTCGGCTGAAACCTTTAACCGAGTAGGAACCTGGACTAAGAAAATAGTTCACACTGCTTTTGAATATTCTGTACAAAGTTCACCACAGCTGTTTCATAAAGGAGAACCTGGAGACAACTGAATGTCCACGGGCATAATGGCATAATAACTGCCGACCTCCAAGTTGGCAATCATGCATTTGTACCATATTAACTAAAAAGGAAAAAGTAGTTTCCACCGAGATTATTCACATAAGGGAATGGGAATACATACGGGCCAGCGTTAAACTCCGTGTAATCTGAATTGCCACACACCACCCAAAGAACCCGGTTCTCCTGCATTGCCGGAGGATTCTTCACCGACTGAGCCACCAGGGAAGCCCATCTTCAAGTCTGTATCTCCCTAAACCAAGGCCTCTAGTAGGCTTGTCAGGTTGGGGGTGGGGATCTTTCTGTTACCTCTACCTCCACTAGCTCAGGGTCGTACTATTTTACATTTGTATGCAGAGGAAACCGGCTGGGGAGAAGTCACTAGTTTAAGGTCTCCGGCCTTCAGGAGTGCTAAAGAGGGGATTTATATATACAGTAAGCACATGTCAAAGTTTCTTTCAAAAATAAAATGACTTTGGAAAAAACTAGTAAGCCCTAGAGTATTTAAAAAAAAAAAACAAAAAAAAAAAACTGAGGCTTCCCTGGTGGTCCAGTGGTAAAGAATCCGCCCTGCTATGCAGGGGACAAGTTGGATCCGTGGTCGGGTTCGATTCCACATGCCATGGAGCAACCAAGCCCCTGGCCACTATTTCTGAGTCAGTATGCTAGAGCCTGTTTTAAGTGCTATTAAAATGCTTAAGTATGCTCTTGTAGGAGGTGAACAGGTGTCCCTGACACATGGGATTGAAATGAGTCTTGCTTTTTTTTTTCTCCCCTTTTGGCTGCACCCTTGACTTGCTAGGCAAGTCCTACTTTGTCTTCTTCATACGTCAGATTGTAAAGCTCTTTTGGAAGGCAGAGAACTGTTTGGTTATCTGGAACCACTAAGCAGCTACCAAGATTTGAGATAAATTTAAAGAGGTAGTCCATTTAGTTAGGTTGTTATAAAAAGATGGTTGTGAAATGATTCAAGGCAGAAGAGGGTTAACAGGATGAGATGATTGGATGGCATCACTGACTCAATGGACATGAGTTTGAGTAAACTTATGCACAGGCTACCTAGGAAATATAACTGTTAACATGGGATGAAAGCTGAGTGCTGGGAGTCAAGAGTGGGTAAATTTACTTTTTACCCAATTAGCTTAAAACCTAGTAGATTTTGTAAGTTACGGCTGCAAAGTGACTGTTGTGTCTCCTTGTTTAAAGGTTCTGTCTGAAGTTTCAACCCTGATGAAGCAGTTTATCTGATGTCACTTGACTTCAATAGATAGTTTAAAAACTCTACAGGAAATCCCCAAAGTGGAAATACAAACACATACAAGTGGGGGATACACATACTCAAGGCACTGGACTTTGTTCCTGCTCACCACTATCAGGGAATATCAAGTAGTAATTGAACATACCCTTTAATCCAGCAATTCCACTGCTAGGAATTTGCTTCTAGATCAGTTATCAGGGAAGTTGGCTAAGAAGTTTGTGTAAAGATATGCATCACAGTACTGTCTGCAGTACCAAATCATCGGAAATTACCTTCAGGACAAACTATGACTCATCCACACATTAGAAGTACAGATAAGGAGGTTGCTCTGCATGTGATATGAGATCACTGTACACAGTACAATGCATTTTGTTAAAAGACACACAAATTGGAAAACTTCCCTTGTAGACAAAAAAAAAAATCACAAACTGTTTTAAAGGGAATGGGAAGACTTTCATTTTTATCTGAGGTTTTATTTTCCAACCTTATAGAAAGGCAGGTATTTACTTTGTAAGATGTAGGCTTTCTTCTTTCACCTATATTCAGCTGGCTTGGGTAGGTAGGGTCCACGAGGGATGCCGCCAGGTCTCCCAGATTTTCCTCAAAAGACTTAGAATTCCCAGCATCACCCCCAACCCACAGCTCTGGCCCACACTGCTCCTCAGAGCTGGGTTCGTCCCTCTGGAGAGGCTGCAGCTGTTCCTAGCCACCCTGCCCACCTTCAGAAAACTGAGTGGGAGGGAAACAGACACACCCCAGAATCCCAGAAAGTGACCTTTATTTTCCAAACAATTTTATTGAATTGTGCCAAGAGTACATGGGCAGCACAAATGTATGAACAGGAAAAAAAAAAAATCACATGTACAGTAATTTTTAAAAAGTGAAGGTTAATCTTGGGAGATATCAGTTCCCCTTCCCCTCCCCCTTTAGACTTCCAGCCATTCCATTATGGTTAAAGCCTCTACTAAACTAGCATTTAAAAAAAGGAATACAGGAACATTTGCAGAAAAAAAAAAAAAAAAACAGCATAAAAGAAAGAAAGGTTTTCCTGCTCAGATGGGACTCTTCTTAGGCACCTAATTAGGAGGCGTGCTGAGCAGTGGAGAAACACAACTTCAGAGTGTACGGGTATGGCCCATCTGTAAGAGAGGAGAGAGATGTGACTGGGCCCCTTTCCCGAGGCTCCGCACCCCGTTTCCCTGGTTTTGCACACATCTTTTTCTGCAATTCAGGGGTCTAACTCATCCTTGCCAGTTTTGAGATTCAAAAACAAGCCAAATACACAAGGCATTCCTCCTTCTCTTCCGTAACTGCAAGAAGGATCCCATCCCCAGCTCTTTAGCTGGCGCACGAGGACAGGCCTGCCCAGGAACTGGGTACGGGGATTTTACCTGCTGGCTAGTACAGCTCCCTTTCCCCTGGGTATTATGTGAGCCAGCCTCTGACGCACATAGAATGCCAGCTCCCTGGAGGACAAGCCTAAGCAACTCCCAAGCTGGCAGAGTGGGTGGCAGCAAGCAGCTAGGCTGGCCCTCTCATGTGGAACAGCAGGCTGCTCTCCTGGCGACCAATTCCCACCTGCCCGTGTCAGTGACAAGAAGGAAATCTCTGGGGCCCTGTCTTGACGGCAAGAAGGACGGCTCTGGCCGGAGGCCAGCCAACCCACTAGGCCACAAGGGGGATGACTGCAGGACACACAGATACTCACTTGGGTTTTTCATCTGGTAATGGTTCAGGAAGCCCAGAGTCTCCAGGGCATCACTCTTGGATTCCCACTCCAGCAGTCCAGAGGAGCTGCGTTCACCTGATGGGAAAACGAAGGTTTTAGGCTGACCTAAGCAGAAGCCAGGGAGCTGCCTGTGTACCACCAGGGAACGGTGGAGGTAGGCGAGGCAGTAAACTCACTTTTGCCTGAGAATACTTTCACAGAAGATGGCCGCTTCACTCCCAACTCATCGCAGATCTGCAACAGAGAGAGAAAACAGACTCAGGAACACAAGAAGTGCCACATGGTGGAATGCAAGCACACAACCAAATACCTGAATTTTTCTGGACAAGGAGTTAGCTTTTCTCACACACTCTTAAGGTGTCCCTATGATCCCCCTCCCCAAAGACTGAAGTACACCACTCAATTATGTTGCCGAACACTGGAAAAGGGCTTTTAAATTCCCATCTTCAGCTGTAATTTGGGTGTGTTGCAGGTACTGGGTAAATGTTTGCTGAACTGAATAGCAACACCTCAGGCCAGAAAAAGGCCTAAAGTCCAACTCAGCAGTCAGACTCCCACCCTTCCCTGAAGCTGCCTGGTTTCCTCTGAGGGCATTGTAATGGGACCCTCCCTTCTAATGTCATCTAGGCCCCAAAGGAGGGCCAAGATTGGGCTCCAATCACCAACCTACCATCTAGACAAGAATGAATCTTTCACAGCAAAGGAGCAGCCACTCTAGCTTGCCAAAGATGCAAAGAGCATAGCAAACTCCACTGCTGCTGGATGTTTTGTGCCATTCTGAGCCTTTCTTGGTCCCTGCCATGTTCCCAGCACTCAACCCAGAGCCCAGGAGAGTGGCAGCTCAATAGATATTTGTTAAAAGAAAACGGACGACCTCCTCAGATGGCTGTGCTGAGGGGCCAACTCCACAGCACCCACCTCAAAGAAGTTCTCTTCAGTCACCTCCAGAGGGGCGTTGAAGAAGTGCAGCACATTGCTAGGGTGCTGGATGCGGTTCTTGGCTGCCTGCTCTGGAGTGGAGAACCGATTGTTCCTTGACTCACTGAAGTCTTTGTAACTGCAGGACCCGTCTTCTAGCCCATATGACTGACCGGGCATGATGGCTGGTTGCTTGGAGACACTGTCGGAGGGAAGGGGAGCCCCCTGTCAGACCTCAAGCTGTCCCCCTCCTTCTACTGTGGCTTTCCCAATCTGACAGCACTGTGTGCCTTGCAGGGCCCTGCTCCACAGCGAAGAGAGGCCGACACATCCACCACATCCAGTGCCAACCCGGCTAAGCACTTGGCTGCTCTGCGCGCCTAAGCCCTGTCCAGAGTGGGCTCCACCGCCCTCCCCCTCTCCTCAGTCCCTCTCCACACTGCCCAAGACCACGGAGACTGGGCACCTACCAGACGTTCAGCTTCTGCCCAAACATGAAGTTGTTGTTGAGGTGAGTGATGGCCCGGTCCACAGCGTAGCCATCCGCCATCTCCACCATGGCAGCCCCCGGCTTGCTTTTCATGAATTTCACCTTGAGAAGAGCAGTCCCAGTCAGCACCACTGGCCAGGCGCCAGAGACCCTTCTCCTGACCCTGCTCTGGATCTATGCTTCTATCTCCTCACTTGTTAAGACAGAGGGGCTGGCCTGGCTCACAGCAAGTGCTGAGCCCAGGTCGGGCAGCAGAGACTCACTTGGCAGTGTTTCCCGAATGGCAGGACCCAACCCATGGATGGCTCATTTAATGAAGCACAACAGAAAAGCGGCCACAGGGGGGGAAAAGCACCTACTCCCATCAGCAGAGTATGTACAAATACTGAGTTGTGGTTGTTACACAAACACTGAAAACAGTAGAGTCAGCTAGGAGCCTTGCTTCCATATAAAGGCATGTGAAACTGGACAAGTTATTTGCTCCCCCCCATGCTTTCAATGCCCCTGGCTTGTCTCATTAAGGATTCTTATATAACGAATTTAAGCAACTTACAGCACCTTTAACAGCGTCCTGATACAGCAAGAACACCTGACACGTGCTAGCTGCTATTATCATCAACAAGCTAGGTCAGTGGGTGCAAAGTAAAAGGCTTTCAGGACTCAGATGGGCTTGACATCAGGACCAACCTGGTCTCAGGTCGGCAGTCACCAGGCAGCCCCAGTCAACTGTTACCCCTGGTAAGGCAGAGGGCTCAGTGTTGCTGTTATCACCTGAAGCATTCCAGAGAAAAGCCTTATTACCCTCCCTGGACCTGCTTGCTTCTAAAGAGGCTCCTGCCTGCTCTTTGCTCACTGAGGGGTCAGAAGATCAGGGCCTCCCCTGGGCCTGTTAGCTCTATTAGGAAAGCAGTGGACCTAGCAGAAGCTCACCTTCTCCACATTGCCATACAAGCAGAAGACATTGAAGACCCGGTCACAGTTCATCTTAGATTGATCCAAGCCATAGACCATGAGCACAGGGCTGTCGGCGTGGGGGCCATACTCGGGTGGTGGGGGAGGGGGTGGGGGGTGCCCATACTGGGGGCCGTAGCGACTTGGGCCCCGGCGGTGACCCCCCACTGGTGGGCCCATCCTTCTCCCTTCGTAGTGAGGTGGGGGGGGCCCGTAGCCCTCATCATGGTAATGGCTGTGGTACCCACCGTGGGGCCCTCCTGGGGGGTGGGAAGGAAAGAGAGGGAGGACGGGTGAGAATTTGCGTGTCGGGCGGCGGGCAGGGGCACATGAGCCACGGGAGTCCACGGAGGGGAACCCCCTGCCCTCACCATATTCTGCGGGGTGATCTCCCAGTAGAGGGGGCTGCCTCTGGCGTTTGTTAGGGTTGCTGCCAGGGTCACCTGTAGACAGAGAAAACAGTTAGAGGCTGACTCGGAAATGGGCATCTCCCTCCCTCCTGACTGCAGGGGATAGATGGTCTGTGTCCCTTGGCTCCTGAGGGCCCGGGCACCAGCCTTTCCTTCCTCAATAGGGTTACTGGGGCGTCCTTCCCAGGGCCGGACCCAGGGTTGGCATGAAGCCCAGGTCTCAAGGCTGGAGCCCACCATCCCTCCCCCACCCCTGCCCACTGCAAGCAGGTTGCTTTCCTTTCTCAGTGAAGGATGAAGCCAGATTCTGGACCTCTCACTTCCCAGAGCTTTGACAGGAAGGTCAGCTCTTGGGCCCTCTAGGGAACTTGCAGCCACTATGGAAGCTGATTGGGGGCCAGGAACAGCTTTCTAAAGTAACTCCCAAAGAAGGGAAAGGAGTTAAGTGCTGCAAAATAACTCAGGGAAGAGCAGAAAGGTAAAATCAGGCCCTTGAAACCCCAAGGTTCTAGGAGCGCTAGGGCCCACTCTCTAGAGATGATTTTCTCAATTCTGGTCCCAGTCACCGCGCGCCACCACCCCCCCATCATGTTCACCCCAAGGAGAGGGACTGTAGGCAAGGACAAACAGGGCATCATCAGAACCAGTTCAAATGAGCATCGTGTACAAGGCATCAACATTCTCAAGACAATGGCGCAGATCCACCCTGCCCCACCCCCAGCTACAGTTAATAATCGCTACCTTAACTTAGCACTTGAAATGGCAGACACGGTGCTAAGCACTTTACAGACAAACATCATTGTTTCTTAAATTCCTCACAACAACCCTATGAGGTAGGTACTAATATATTTGCCCCATTTCACAGATAAGGATAATAAGCACTTAATTTTTAACTGAGCAGTTAAGACACTTTGGCCCAAGGTCACAAAGCAAGTTAGTGGCTGAGCCGGGATTTGAACCCAGGCCTGGCTGACTCCAAAAACCCAGGGCTTGGGGCCACTGCCCTTTCCTGCCACCCGGCCTGGGTTTTGTTTTCCAACAGTCATTACAAAGATGGAAAAAGGCTACTTACAGCAGAAGTACAGAGTACAATGTCCATTTGTCACAAAAAACAAATCTGTATTTTCTCTTACCATTGGACGCTTCAACAGTGAGTTAGCACAGTTCTGAAAGATGGCGTCCCACCAAACATACACTGCGACCCTGCATCACATGGTTTTACAGTCATAAATACAAGTTACGGTACACATCCGCTACAATTTTTTTTAAAAAGAATTGTTTTAAAAGTCAATGTCTCGATTAAGTCAAAAAATGGCTCACAGATGTTCTGTCCTCAGAAGATACCAGAAAAGTGGAAAATAAAGGTGTATGCAGTGGGTAGTGTCCCTCCGTGTTGTCACCTCCTCACATTGTGTGCTGCAGTGCGGTGCTTCTGGCTGTGTAGCGCTCCGTGTGCGTGTCTCCTGGTTGTAAGGTGTGCCAGTGGCCCCACTATGCCCGCACTGTTGGCCTTGGGAGCACGCCTGGTTACCCGCCAGCAGGTAACTGTGTACCTCTGAGCTGTTTGGTTTTAGGTCTGTTTTGGCTTTTTGATTTTTTTTTTTTTGCTGTTGTTGTGGTTTTTTTTGGTTTCTGATCTCCAGCTGGTGCAGATTATGTTGGCAGCCGATGACTGCAGAAAAAAAAATATCAAAACACAAAAGAAAAAAAAAAGAAGGCCCTCCCCAAACCAAAGGACTTAAAAAACAAACAAACAAAAAAAAACCAAACCCACATGGCGAGGAATGGAGAGGATCCTATTGTCTTGGAGGCCCATGGAATCTACTTCAGTCTATGAATCGTTCTCCGAAAAGAGCGCCGCTGGCTGTTCTCTGTGTTTCCTACTTCTGTGTACATTTTCGGGTTCAAGTTTGCTTGGATTTTGACTTTTTTTTTTAATGTTTAGTAAAAAAGCAGTGTCTGCTGCCATGTTGCGTCTCTTTCTTTGTCTCTGTCTGCCTCTGTCTCTGTGCTTGTAGCTGTTCCTTGGAGCGCGGTGTGGTGGTGTTCTTGATGTAGTGAGCTCAAGTCTGCGGCTGTTTCTGGGGACGTGGTGGAGGCTGCGTGTTCTGTTCTCTCCAGGAAGAGCTAGTGGTTTCTACCCTGTGTGTTGGTGAGCAATGTGCAGAGGCAGAGCCGCTGAAGTCTGGTTCCCAAGGGGGTGGCGAAGCACCGCCCTCACTCCAGGTCACCTCATCAGCTCTCGGTTTTTTTTTTTTTGACCCCGGGCCTGGGGGCGGCCAAAGCTGAGAGGCATCAAAACCAATGCACAGCCAGCCCCTGCCACTAGCCCCTGCCGGTCTGCACATCTTCTATTTATGTTCCTTGGAGAAGAAATGGTTGGTTGCCGTGTTTCTGTTAGCAGTCATGTAATGCCATTGCCCGCTCTGGTACATTCACTTGGTCACCAATTTGCCTCTGATCTCTGGAGGGGCAGCCTGCCCCACAGCGCCCATTGTGAGGGTCCTGGGGAAGAGTCTAGCCCACCCGGCCCACGGCTTCGGCCTGCCTAGGAACAGGAGCCTCTGGCTTCCCAGGGCCGGTGAGATGTCAGCGACCAGCCACCTCCCTCAGCCCATGGTCTAGTCCAAACAATCAGAACAAAACAGAAACAGACGGGTGGTTTGGCTGAGGGGGTGCTGCTGTTTTTCAAAGGCAATGCTCCACCTCTCCCTCCTATCCAAGGCAAACCATTCTTGAGAGATTCTAGGAAGAGGGTTGTCCATTTGGGCCCCCTGCAGAGATGTTGCGTCCCCTCTACAAGTGAGGCAAGGCATGTCTGCCCCTCTCCAATCCTGGGCGTCTGAACTCCACAAGGTCAATTTGCTCAAAGGCTCTGCTGCAAAGGCCTGGGAGCCCTCATCACCTTCCCCATCTCTCTCACCACAGGCAGACCCTGTCAATCGTGGACAGCAAGGGGGCCGTTCCTGGCCCAGTGAGAACAGAGTCAGTGACCCTAAGCAGGCTCCAAGAAGGCAGGCAGCAGAACCGTCTGGGAGCTGCTACTGGTCTGTAAGCCATTGCCAGGGCCTGTGCTCTGTTCCCCACCCCACCCAGGCCTCTGCCTTGACCCTGCACCCTCAGTTGCATCAAAGGGCCGCAAGCAGCAGCTAGGACCTAGAGGCCCCTTATTCACCCTCTTCCACAGGAGTGCATCCTCCAAGAGCTGATCCTTAAGGCCCTCCCATGTCCACAGGGAGCCCAATGGCATTACATAACCCTGAGCCCAGGTCTATGAAGTGCGCTAGTCAAGTGAAGGCAGGGCGGGTGTGTTTAGAATAAAGCGGCCATCAGGATTACCTTGTCCACTGAGATTGGGGTTTGTGTAGTCCCAGGTATCCTGATCATTCTTGAACACGTTTAAGCGCGTAGGCTGCAGGGACAAAACAAAGCCTGAGGTCAGCCGGGCCCTAGGCTCCCCTGAGAGCGGGCCAGGGCAGCCGTTCCCCAGACCTACCTTTGCGTACTCTATCTTCAGAGTGCAACAACCTGAGTAGATGTCAGCCCCATTGAGGGAGGCCTTAGCTCGCTGGGCACTCTGCACAGAGTCAAACGTGAATCAAGTTAAGGCAAAGTCCCATCCCAAGAGCTTTTCAGAAAGAGCTCAAGTTGGGCCAAAGAGGAATGAGAGCAAGACAGCTCCAAGTGGGCTCTGGGGTGAGCTCACTGCTCAGAGTCACTCCTACAGAGACAGGTAAGAGTGCTGCACTGATGCCCAGAGTTCTGCACTGATGGCTAGAGTTCTTCTATGACTTATACTCCATCCCACCCTGCCACCGGCCACTCAGATATTAGCATCAACCTTCTCTGTCACCATCAAAGGTCAAACCACCTTCTTCCTCAGCCCAAACCTCCCCTCTCATGCTACATGTCTTGACTAAGCCTGAACATCTGAAATGTCAATGAGATTATGTTCCCGTCCTGAAAAACCCATCAGTGAGCTCCCTCTGCACCCTGATCCAGGCTTTACCCCACTGCCTGGCAACCCTAACTTCCGATGTCGTAAAGAACCCTGTTAGCTACTCAGTTGTCAGGTTGTCTGCTTTCTCCAACACTAAGCGCCTGCCCACCTGCAGACCTCTGCAGAGGTGGTGTCCTCGGTGGTGCACATGTCAGTTCCCACCTCCACATGAAAACAGGATGTCACTTCCTCAGACCTTCCCAGAAGTTCTGTAAATTCCTTCCCCTTATAGCTCATAGCATGTTCTTCTTTCCCTTCACACTTTAAACTCTGCACTGCACTTTCACACTACACAATTAACCCTTAAATGTGGGTGTGTTTTAGAGACATCTATCTCTGTGCAGTTGAAAACCAACATATTTAACCAACTACAGATAACCTACTACTGGAGTATGCACTTAGTAAATGAAATACACCTTAAGAGGATCCACAGAGTTCAAGCCTGTGCTGTTCAAGGGTCATCTGTTTACATGTGGTTGTTTATTAACTAACCCTCCCAGGAGACCATGGGCTCTATGAAGGCATCTGGCACAAGGCAGGTATTCAGCAGACACACGCTGCTTGAAAACACGGACTCCTGTGAGCTCAAATCTCAAGGAGCACCCATTTCCCAGCAAAGGATATTCCACCATGGCCTGGACGCCATTCTTCCGGAAAATCACAATTCTCTGGACAGGACCACAAGGATTACAGATAGTATAAAGAACATCCTGTAAAAACCAAAGATAGGCAAGATGAAAAGGCACCAGCCAATCAGTCTGACTCGCGGGAGAGGGAACAGGGAGAAACTGCAGGAGAGAGGCTGTATAGAAGGAGAACCTCAACAAATAACTGCTGGCACGCACCGTGGTAATGGAATAGATGGGGTTCAGGATGGTAAAGAGAAGCACACTGTTGACGCTCCGGGAGTCATCTGAGTCCCCAGGACGAGAGATTTTCTGGCTGGTAGAGTAATTGACAAAAGCTGGGTGGCCTGCAATGTAGATCTGGTTGTCGGCTGCGTAGTTCACGGCGTTGCAAGCCCCCAACACATCTTCAAACTCCACCAATGCCTGTCTCTTTTTAGGCATCACCACCACATAGCTGGCAGAGAGAACACAGGTTGCAATCTTCTTAAGGGGATGGAGACGATGAGAGTCAGAGGACAGCCTCAACCTTCTGTCAGCTGGTTGCTCCCTGGCCTCTTGAGTGCTCTGCACCCTGTCATGGCATCCTGACCTGTACCTTACACCCCTTGCCATAAATGGCATGACAAGCAAAAGGTGTCTGCAGCTTTGGCATTCTTTGGCACAGAACTTGCTATAACTTATCCAAAGTACAATGGCTAACCCCAGGAGTAGTGGAGCCCCAGGACCTAGCTAAAGGAACCTGGACTGAAATTGAAATAGTCAGGTTACTTCCAACCAGAAACCCGGTGACACATAGGACACCAAGGAGTTAACTCATCTGAATACCCAACCCCAACCCCTGTCTCTGACTGAGTACCTGATAGGTCCAAACTCCTGCAAGGCCTCCACAAGGTCAGCTTCCACCACGCCGTCAATCAGGCCCCTGATGTGAACAACTGGGGAGGCAGGGGTTTTATGCGGGTCATCGTAGTTCTCCTGAGAAAGAAAGCAAAACCAAGACTTTCCTTTCTGCTGTACAAGATGGTGGCCTACTGGCTTCTGCACTGTTGGGGACTCGGATAAAACATTTGCGTGTCACCCAGGAAGAACATACATGGCAGACAACAAGGAACAATTCAACCAATCATCCCAAAAGGATTCTGGGTCGGCAGAGCAGGCCCAAGTGGATGGCCACTTGCCTAATGGCTTCACTGTAACTTCTGAAGACAAAATGGAAGATGAAGCAAATCTCAAGCCCCATCTTATTAATATATTCTTCCCAGAACCAATCTCTTTCAACTGACCAAAGAAATGTGGGAAGAGTGGCTTGGAAAGGGGACTCTTCTGCTGCAGCCTGAACCAGGACATTCCCTTTCCATTCACCCCAGCTTCTTTGCCCATCCTCTATAGGAGGAAGCTGCCATCACCACACAGCCAAACACTGCTGATCCCCATCATTCATCCCAAGTCCAGCAGGTACTTCAGACGCTGTGGCATCCAGGCCAATCTTGACTGCCTCTAGTCTTTACTCTCCCACCAAAATCTGTATTGAAAACTACTACCTAGACCAAACTAAGGAAAAAGAGGGTGAGGAAAGTTTAAAAGAAAAAACAAACAAACAAAAAAAAACCAACAAAACGTCAATCTGTATCACTAAAAACCAGGACACTTCCCTTCCCAGGGGAAGTATTTTTCCACCCACAGACAAAAGTCTCTGAGAATCAAGAGGAAAGTTAAGCTTCTCCACCTCTCCTGGGCTCTGGGCCCAGCCTCCCTTCTGAAAACCACTAGGCAGAAGCCCATGTAACAGGGGCAGAATTGGATTCTATTTCAGGAATGAACCACACAAACCACAGGCACCACACCCGCCTGAGGTTACCCGGCTCAGCGATTTGGAGTTCCACAGCCCTCATCAGTTCTAATCCCAGCTGCTCCCTAGTTTAGCTACAAGATCAAATGTGTAACAGTAATACCATTCTTTATCTCATAGGAGAGTGTTAAGTATTAAGATACCTTTATTACGCATGCAATGAAGCTTTTCGCAGGGTTTAAATGCCTGTAAATCACAGTTACAGAGCACCACTGAACTCTGGAAAACCCTGCAAATGGCTGAACCGGACAGGATCTCATGAACTTCCAGGAAAGAAAAAATGGGCTTCAAGCCAGGAGTAACAACTGGTTGTTTTTTCAACGTAGGAGACTGAAGAGGACGAATCCCTTCCAAAGTGCCCACCCCTCAGAGAACATTTTCGTTCATCAAACCTACCGCACCCACTTAACCCCAGAAACTGTAAGCAAACTTGTGATGACTCCAAAGCATGGTTCAACTTCCAAATATCTAAAAAAGATCTTTCACAACTTTTTTCTTCCGGTTTTCAATGTCCACAAAATGAGGCATACTTTGGTCTGGGTAAATACTCTCAAGTAAATAAATTTCTGTATTGAGGCAAACCATAACGCTACAAAAACTAAACAGCATTCAGGCATAATACCCAACTCAGGCGCGTAAAAGGCCACCACCCACCAGTTCCCGCTCAGGCGGTCACCCCCCCCCATCCCCCCCGCACAACCGCCCACGAGGCCTGGACAGAAGTGCGCCTGCGCATAGGGCCAGAGACTAGAATGATAAAAGAAAAAAACGGCCCGGCCGCGTGCCCGGCCCCCACATGCCAGCCCGCGACGCCTGCGCACTGCGCCACCTGCAGCGCGAGCAGTTTCCCCCGCGCCCCCCCACCTCGCTCTGTAGAGCGCGCACGCGCAAGCGCTTGTCCTCGCGCAAACCCCGCCGTTTGCCCAACGCCTGCCCCTCCCCCACCCCTTCTACAGAGCGAGGGCCTGGGCGCGTGCGCACAGCCCCCCAACAGATAAATGCCCTCAAAGTGAGAAAATTTCCCTCCCTTCCCGGCCGTCTCCGGCGTCCAGGACCCTGGCCTCACCCCGCCGCCACCGCCCGCCGCCCCGGCTCCTCCGCCACCGCCGCCGCCGCCTCCATGCTGGTCGCCGGCGTTGTCAGTCTTGAGCCGTTTGGGGGCCCGGCCGCCCTCACTGCCGCCGCCGTAGTAACGGCCACCGCCGCCTCCGCCGCCCGCCGCCGCCATCTTCACCATCGCTCCGGACCGCCGCCTCTGCTCGTCCGGCTGCTGCCTCTGCTCCAGCCGCCGACGCCGCTTCTCCGCCCGGGGCAGCAGCCTCCGCGACATGGCGGCGCAGAACCCGCCTCCCCCCGCCTCTCATTGGGGGAGGGACACGCCCGTCACTCGCCGCCCCCACCCGATAGGGGGAGCCACTGGTCCCGCCGCGGGGGGAGGGGAAGCCTCTATACGCCTTGCGCGCCTAGTGGATAAAGCGCACGCCCTTCTGCAGGAGTGCCCGCCCTCGTTTGTCTGGGACACTCCTTATAGGCGAAAGCTTTCTGCCAGTCATTTCTCTGGCCCCGCCGCCTTAAAATAAACTCTAACTTGATTGGTTGGATTTCTGGCACGGCATGGCCTCCTTAGGAGTACCTGATAGGAGCAGCACACCCTCACTGTCAAAAGCCCCGCCTCCTTCCCACTTTCATTGGCTTTTCTCGCTAATCCATCAAACCAAAAGCCCCCTCAGTCTTCCAGTCACGGTTACTACCTCCCCGCGCCTCTCCGCAAGGAGACAAGACGGCTCCTCCCTTGGCCTCTCTCCAATGGCTACTGCAGACGCCGATCTTCTGCTAGACGCCCGATTAGTCAATTGAGAGTGGAAAGAGCCCTCTCACTAGATGTTAGGCCCACTGGTGACCCCTGATTGGGTGAAAAAGGGGAACCCACTTTGGCGCAGTCTACGAAAGGATCGGGGCAGAGGACGCATGCGCGAATCGCGCTCAGGTACCTCCGGAGGCGGGGCGACCCTCCAGAGGCGGGGCGACCCTCCAGAGGAGGGACGACCCTCCAGAGGAGGGAAGGCCTGGAGCACCAAGAGTGTGTGTTGAGTCCTTTGAGCAGCACCGGCAGGGTAGACTCTTAGAAGGGCAATTGCCAGTGCAGCTCTGTACCGATCCCTATCTCCTGTTCCTCTCCATTGCTAACCTTCACAATGCCAGACGGAAAAAATTTTTTAAACTCAATCTGACCCTTTCCCTCAGTATTAAACCATTTGCTGCTGCCGTCTGTCTTATGACCCTGTCCAATTCGCCCGCGTCCTTTCACCACTTCACTTCTAAATTCAACCACAAATAACTCCTTTTAGTTGGCAGAAAGGGAAGAATCTTTCTCGCACCTCTCAATCTATGCCCGAGCAGTTTCTTCGAACTAGAACACTTTCATCCACTATCCCTCCTGCCAGAATTAGGGGTTAAAATTCTAAAATTTCTCCTGTTCGTGCTCTGTTCTCTCTGAAAAGCGTTCTTGGCCCTACCATCCCAGACCCTCGGTTTCCCTCATGATAACCCCTGATCCCTCAGGCCAACGGTTTTCACTCGACAGTCCTTACTATTCTGGGTTGTCAGTTTTGGGAATGCCCTTTTTCTTAGCATGAAAGTGCTTGTGTGGTCTGTGTGTTGGTCTTAGTGAAGCTGCCCCCCACCCCGCCCGCCACCAAGCGCCAGGCACAGCACCTGGCACAGTGCTAGCTAGCTACTCGGCAAAGGCGAGCAGTTGCAGTGTTCTAAGTGTCCGACGGGCCTCATTTCCTCTGGGGCTACCCCCGCAGAGAACACCCTGGGGTTGACCCTAGGATCCCGCCCAAAGTACTCTTTAACCTTAGGGGGCNAAGGGAAGGAGAGTGGAGGAGGGGACAGTCGTGGGAAATGCGGGAGACTTCCCCCAAAGAAGATACGGAACCTTTCCACTCGGGCGAAAGGGGCTTCCCGAAATAGGATGTCCTCGTGGAAACTAAGTTTGAAATGGGGTCCAGTGGCACTAAGAGAGTGGGATCGGCTTGGTAGCTCTGTGAGTTTGGGGAGGTGAAAGTTGGGGTAGGCTGATCCGGATTTAAGTCAGCTCTCAATCACCCCGGAAAGATCTAAAGGGGCCGGCCAAAAGGAGACGGGGAGCTGCGCAGCGCCTCCGACACGTGACCCGAGCGACGGAATTAAGGCGGGGCGGGTCTGACTGAAGGGCGGGGTCGCCGAGGTCCGGACGTCAGAGGAATGCGGTGGGGGGAGGGGGAGAGAAGGGGCCCCTCCCCTCCCCGCCCCCGCGCCTTGCCCGGACGCCCCTCGCGCCGGCGCGCGCCGACGGGACGCGGCGGAACCGTCCCCCGCGCGACACGTTCCAGGCCGCTCGCCCCCTCGAGCGCGTCCACGGCGAGCGACCGAGCGGCCGCGTTATCTGCACCCCGGAGCTCCCAGTCTCCGCCCCTCCCCCACCCGTTGCACGCGGACCGCGGCTGCGGGCCCGGGGCGGCGCCTCCCTCGGATCCCCCCGCACCCCTCCCAGACCCCTCGCCCCCAGCCCCTACCAGTTCGGCGGCGAGCCTGGCCGGCCGTCCGAGATCGAAAAGAGAGCAGACACTGGGAAGTTTTGGGGGAGGGAGGGGCGGGCCTTAAAGGGACCACGACCTTTTTCCAGCCGGGGGAAAAAAACGTCGGGGGGGTTGTTGCGGGGGGAGACCGAGAGTTGCCCTGAAATTGAATGGAGGAAACAACGCAAAAAGAGGATGGGAAGACTCCGCGTCCCTTTTCCCCAAACAACCCCAACCTCTCAACACCCGCCCCACATCCCTCACAGAAAGTGGCACTGTTGTTTGGGAATCAATGCCTCATTGCTCTTGGTCAGCCAAGTGTTGTGTTGGGTGAGGTGAATGTTGGGGTGCTCATTATACAGACGGGGAAATGAGCTCAGGGGACGCTAGTAAATAACCCGGGATCCCACAGCTTGTAAGTGGCATATATAGAAGAATTTGCCGCAAAGACGCGTAACTACTGCAGTGCCTGTTACGGTTATGGCGTGGGGGTGAGGTGGGGCTGCAATATACCCTGGAGATTAAGAGCATGGGTTCCGGGGTCAGACTGTCAGCTTTCAGATGTGGACGGTGAACCTGCTAGCTCCGTGGCGTTGGAAAAGTGATTTCGCATTCTGGGGCCTCTGTTCAGTTTGGGTGCAAATGCACCCAACCTGCATCGTTGGGTGGTCTTGAGAGGTGCTGAGAATATCGAAACAGGGGACCTCAGATCTACCTCCAGTTCAGAGACTGAGGCCAGGAGACGGGAAAGACCAGCTGAAGATTCACTAGCCTCTGAAAAACAGGTCCTCCCCTACTTAGCACCCCCAGGGCATAATCTAACCTTTGTGGGCCCATTAGATCCATGCCTAACCTTTTCCCCTTGTCCTCCACATGGCATGAACACTGGTTTTCCTTTTGTTCATCAAATACCCAAAGCTCATTCCTAGTCTGTATAGAGAACACTTTTCTCCCAAATCTTTGCTCCTCATTTGACAGGCCTTGGCTCAAATGTCACTTGCTGAGCACCCTGCCTAGTTAGCCCTGATACATAATCATGGTTTCCCATCTTTGCTCATATTGCCATGTGAAAATATCTGATTATTTTTTTGTCACCTCACTAGCATCTTGGCTCTTTGGGAGCTGGAAGTAGGTATGTTTTAATTCTTCCAAGGACCATTCATTCATATAACATGTTTATTGAGCTCACACTATTTGGGGCATCTGGGATAAAATGATGAACAAGATATGGAAAAACTTCCTCCTTCCTGGAGTTTACAATCTAGTGTAAAAGATGCACAATTCTCAAGTAAAACGTATCAGATGATGATAACTGCTATGAAGATAGTAAAATAGGGAAGGAGGGTGAGACATGCATGAGGGCAGTTTGCTCAGAAGGTGTTCAGGGGAAGCCTCGCTGAGAAGGTGATATTTATTTTATTATTGTATTTAAAAAATTTTTGGCTATGCCACACTTAGTTCCCCAACTAGGGATTGAACCTGAGCCCCCTGCATTGGAAGCACAAAACCTTAACCACTGGACACCAGGGAAGTCTCTATGTTATTATTACTATTATTTACAAGATGACACTTTAGCAAAGCCCTAAAGTGGAGAGAGAGGAGGTCATGTGGATGCTGGGGGAAGAGCATTCCAAGGGAACATCCAGTGCAAAGGCCCTGAGGTGACAGTGTGCCTGATGTGTTCCAGGAATTGGGGCTTCCCTGTTGGCTCAGGTGGTAAAGAATCTGTCCACGATGCAGGAGATCAAGATTCGATCCCTGGGTCAGAAAGATCCCCTGGAGAAGGGAATGGCTACCAGTATTCTACAATATTCTTACCTGGAGAATCCCATGGACAGAGGAGGCTCCAGGCTACAGTCCATGGGGTCACAAAGAATCAGACACTGCTAAGCGACTGACTCTTTGTGGTGGGAGAAAAGGGAGGAAGGGGTAAATGGTAAGTGATGACATCAGGGAACAGGGAGAGGGCAGCTTGTGAGTGTCCTCTTGGGCCACAGGGAGGAGAGGACTTTGAGATGAGTTCTCAGAATGGTTATGAGCAGGGGAGGGCCCTGATCCAGGTCAGGTGTTCATGGG